GCCAGGGGGCGGCGGGCGGGCCGCGGCCCGGCGCGCGCCCCGCCCCGTTCCGCCCTCCGCTCCCTCCCCTCGGGGGCGCCCTCCGCTTCCCGCCACAGGCCCCGCCCCCTCCGCGCCGGACGCGCCCCTTTCTGGGAAAGTTCCCCCGGCCAAGCCGCGCCCCCTGTTGCACGCAGCCTCTGCCAAAGCCCCGCCCGCTTTCTCCGGCCCCGCCTTTTCCTTTCCAGGCGCAGCCGCTCTCCCGCCATCTCCTTCTCGGCGCGTCTTGCTCGAGCCACGCCCCCCACGGCTCACTCGCCTGAGCGCTATTTGACGAAGGGAGTCGCTCCGCCAATGAAAGGTTTAAGCGAAGGGCCAATAACAGCCGAGAGAAGGCGGGACTGTCGCTCAGCCCAGGCCACGCCCCCTCGCTCTCTGACCCTCAAGTTCGATGCTCGGCTGCCGCTCCACGTGCGAGTCGAAACCCAGATCGCTCCACTCGTGTGCACGCAACTTTTCCACGGAACTTTTTTCTGGGAAGGGGATTGAATCACTCCTAACTTTAACACATAAAAACGAGGCAAACAAACCTCTGAGGACACATTTATGCCGGTGTGCATTGGGGGCTTGAAAAATCATTAGCTACTGTTTGCCGGCGTATTTGGTACGTTTCCTATTTGCGTAGTACTGAAAACCGCCTTGGGAGGGCAGTAAACGCCGCAAGGAGGGATAAAACTTGTTTATGGGAGCGATGCATGCAAGTGCAGATAAGCAGCCTACAACTCCCAGCATGCCCCTGCCTGAATATGCATTGGACCGTGTCCCAATTAAAAAAAAAAAATGGAAGGAGAGCGGTCGTTCCTTCAGTCGAGGTGGAGAGTGAGAAAAGCGGGAAGCTTTATTCGAGTCCGGCAGTGTGGCATGCAATTGGAGGCTTTTGCTTAGCTCTATGGAGGAGCTCCTGCTTAAAGGAGGACTGCAATTAATCAGGGCCCGGGTTTCACCAACACTTCCTGTTTCCTTCTCAAAGTGGAGCGGGGCTTTCTTACAAGGAACGTCGATTGTTTTTGTTGCCCTTGCATGCACTGCAAGTCCCTTCGTGCGACTTTCCACCCACCCGTAATGAAAACATGAAGAAATTAGAGAAAGGCCTCACAACAGTGATTTCTTTCCGGCCTCTTTCCGGTCTTTTCCCACCCACGGATTATGGTGTGGGCTTGATATGGAGATAGGAAAAGTTGAGTCATACCCTCGGGCCCGTTTCCGCCTTTAGAGTGAACCGGTTTTTCATTTCGGCCAAGTGAAGCCACACCTACCGAGCCCGTTTGCCAGTGAGGGCATCCTAGTCGGAAAGTTCAGGCTGCCCGTCGTGCAGGGGTAAAAGACGGACTAACGCCCACAGGACCAAAAATGACAAAAGTGCGGGCGCGGGGGGGGGGGGAGACAAGGAAAAGGAGGCAGAAATGCTGCATGTGCTCTGAAGTCTCTCCGTGTCAGGAGGACCTTGCCTTCTAAAAGCATATAAAAAGTGAAGTGATGCGATGGACAAGGGAAAGGAAGGCTTTTTTGGGGAGGTGGGGCGGGGGCGACAGTAAAGCAGGCACACGTGGGCCAAAAGCCGGCTCACCCGGAGCAGAGCAATGCAATGCAATGCAACGCAACGCAACGCAACGCAACTGCACATAGGCGGTGGGGGGCGGGGGTCGTGCAGAGGCTCACGCCCCCAGCGATGGATTCGGGGCTGCAGCCATGCCGGGCCTTCCGCTCACACCTCCCCTGCATATTTGCCCACGGAGCTCTCCTGCTCGTGAGCACCGGTACTGGGGGCAGCAAGAGTCAGAGGTCCATCTCGCCCTCCTTGGCAGAGGAGGAACAGGATTGGATTACACGCCGGTCGGCCAAAGGAATTGGTCCAATCAATATGGAGGGTAGTTACCATAACACCCGAAGTCCCACCTTCAGGAGGTTCCACCCTCTCCTGCAGAGCAGCCAATGGCCACTGGAGGCGTTCAGCCTGAGCAATGACAGACAGAGCAAGGCGTCCAACGGGAAGGGAAGGAAGGCTGAAGCTCCCCCCACCCCCGCCCCGGGGAGTGAGCACTTCGGCAACGGTTCCTCTTTGCACAACAAACCTGCAAGGTAGGCTACTACAACTGGTCTTAGATCCAGAGGCTGAGTGAAAAGTGCCAACACAGAATCAAAACTCTTGGGAATAAAACTGGAATCCTTCATCTGTCCTGCCACCACCTGCAGCACACCAGCAGAAATGCAGGAAAGGGTCTTCTCGTAGCCACTCCCTGCAAGCTTGGGGAAACTGTCCAGGAAGCCACCAAGTTTTTATTTAGGCATTCGGCTTGCTAACTGTAACAGGTTTGCACTGAAGGCGGCTGGTCTGGTTCCGTTTTGCTGTTATGTTCTTAACGGATACCCTGTTAAGGTTTGCTGACAAGTCTGTATTTTATTATCCAGCCTGAACAGCCTTTGTAGTGAAAAGAAAGGGCATGAATTATAAGAGATGTTATAAATTCAAAGTAGACTTTACGATAATACAACCCCGTGATAAATGGGAGAAAGCGCCTACCCGTGACCAGGTGTAACCCCCAGCGGTTCCCAAAATGAAGACCAACACGCTGTGCTCGCCTGTACGTCGTCTTTTATGAGCGCACATCATTACTAGGAAAGATTAGATGCTTTTCGAAAAGGTTAAAAGACAAAACAGTACAAATTTCCTAAAGCACTTTTGTACAGAACAGTTTCGGAGGAAGAGCGTCACGTGTGTGATTCGAGAATGGTCAAGCGTGTTGGCTGACCCCATGTTTTTAAGTGCAAAATCACAAGTGGCTGGCCTGCCTGGGGTGGGTGGGTGGGTACCAAGAGCCGCCAGAGAGGGCTGATGAGGTATCCTACTTCGCAGGCGGGTGGGAAGGACGCTGGGTCTGTCTGAGACGGAGGGGGGGGGGAAGCTCCAGCCCCAGGATGTCCCCATTTAGCCCCTCCCCTCCTCTCTGCACCGACACCCTAGGCAGGGACTTTAGAAAGACCTCCACGGGTGGGAATGAGTCCCTTAAAAAGTGTCCATTAAAATGAGGGGCTTTGAGAGGGCCGGGCTAGTCCCCCGCCACAGCTGCCATTAAAAAAATCTCAGCTCTCCTCCCCTATTCCGTTTTTAAAAAGGCTTCTTAGAGCACCAATGGAGGCTTTTCAAAGCCTGATTATAGAGCCGGGGGGGGGGGGGTGGAGAGCGTGAGCTGGGAAACGGGAGTGCTGAAAGAAGTTACCCTCGGCTGACTTAAGCCTTGCGGTTTCCTATGTCAGAAATCAGATCATACGTGTTTACAAATGTATACTAGTCACTAAATTCTTATTATTCAAAGCCCTTTTTAAAAAGCACAAACACCCATCTTGAGCCCATGTCTTCCTGGAACTCCAGAGACGGTGCTCCATTACGAGATCCTGAGCAGTGATCAGAAAGAAGCTTAGGGGTGGGGAAGTCAGAAAAGAATCCCTCAAGAGCTGCCATTCTAGAACAACTTCTTCCACTCCAGATGTGTTGGATGACAACTCTCAGCAGGCCCTCTGACCATGCTGGCTGGGGTGGGGAGAGCAGCCTGGGGGAGTCTTATTTATTTAAGGTTTTTGGATGCTGTCCCAATTACCAAAAAAGTTATCTGGGCTGCTTACAGAGAGGGGACCAAACCCAGTCTGGCCTGAAAGTCTCACCTGGAAAGCCAAGCCCTGCTTCTCCTGCCCCACAACACAAAGGGCTTTTGCTGCTTGTATTATGCACCCCCTTCCCCCTCCCACACAGACTTTCTTTTCTGTCTTCCAAGGGGGAACATGAGTCCCTTGCCCAGAGAGGCAGCAACCAGCAGTTCTTGGTTCTCCGGGGGCTACGACTGTCTATTGTGAATCCTCAGGGAGGGATCTCCGAGGCAAGATGGGCAAGCTAAATTTGGCAGCACCCAAAAGGCAGTCCATCCCAGGCTAGCCACCTCTCCAAGGTCACCTGCCTGTTTACCATCCGGGGCTTCAGATCTCCCAGTCTCCACAAGCAACCTTCCAGCGGGACAATTCTTGGACACGGAAGCCTAGCAGGGAGTCTGCGACAGTGCTGAAGGTTTTGGACGGGGGTGGGGGAAAGGGAACACAGCCATCTTAGAGAAGAGCATGATCATAATTCTGGGATGATCAATATTCTGGATGAAAATCCCATGATTAAAAATTTCCTCTTGGGTTACATGATCACATCATCACTCAAATCAGGGTTCTGTCCTGGCCTGGAAATAGAGTAGTACTAAAGTACTGCGCGAGGCAAGGCTGGATTCTGCACCACGGATATATTATGCGAATCCAGCAATTCTGCATAACTGCTTATTTTGCATACTAATCTGATAAAATACTTATTACATTGTCATAGGAAGGGCAAGAAGACTTAAGTTCTGCCTCAGCCACTGGAACGCTTGTTCGGATCTTACGATGCATTACCCACATCCTTGCAAGGGTATCTTTGCAGTCCTTAGGGGCTAGAAACTTGAGCCATTCCTGCTCTCCACTTTTGCAAGTAAAACCTCCGAAGGCCAGTACAGCTTACTAGCCAAGCTTTCATTTCATTTCTCTTTCATTTCATTCCTTGAGCTGCCTAGGAAATGCAGAGTGCTGGAGAAAGAAAGCAAGCCCTTCTCTGTCAGCAATTTTTTCTTAGTACTGATAAAGGGGGACATGTTTCATTCAGCAGAGCTAACCGAAAAGCTTGAAGGAAAGATGCTATCCAGGAACTCAGGTTAGCTTCTCCCTGCAGCCCCACTCAGGAATGTCCAACAAACAGTCCCCGAAGTGACCTCCAGAAAATTAAGATACCCTTTATATACTTTCTCCTCTGTTCTTTGCCCCAGCAGCTGGGCGAAAGGAGACAGCCTAGCCTGCAAGAGTAGAGCCTAGCCTGGCCTGGCCGGTGCACATTTTTAACAGTAAACAGCATCACAAACACACAGCACCAGGTATACAAAGGAAACAAAGCACCAGTTCAAATGCAAGAAGGTGTAGCTTTTTCAGGGGCTGGTTTAAGGTGGGAGGGTCTTCAGCCTTCCCATTTTCTTCAGCCTAGCTATACCAATATAACGAAGGGTTTTGTCCTTCATTATATTGGATTTTTACCTCTTTAAAAATCGCCATGATCCAACTTATTAATTAAGCACTTGCCCATCTGAACTGAACCGTCACACCCAGTTCTGAGAAAGAGCCCATTATAGCCTCCTTTCACAACACAGCATGCTTATGTGGCCCCGGTCCCCTTGCCATCCGGGTCACTCTCTCTCTCTCTCTCTCACACACACACACACACACACACACACACACAGAAAGTCTTACAGAAGAGCCAGGAATGATTGGGCATTCAGCCTATGAAGCCCCAGCGCGACAACTGCAAGGGCTGGGGTGGAACCAGAGTCGTCGTCTTTGTTATACGGAGTTCAGCACGAGGAGGTTTCCAGCCTGGTTCTGAACTAGGGCCGCAGACCGTGCTTTCACAGCAGACTGGCCAGGCTGGTGGTGGGCCCATTCTGCGCTTGGAACTGCACGGGCGGGGGTCCGTCCGTCCACTGTGGGGGAGGAAAAAAGGGGAGTCAGACACATGCACCTGGTCGGTGGCTGGTGAGCTGGCTCATGTTGCCAAGCCAATACCACGACATAATCGTACCTTTTACTACCTACTACCACCTTTATACCTTGCCTCGCTTCCTCTTGCGAGCAACCCAAGGTGAAGTCCTCCTCTTTGGCTCCGTATTATCCTTGCAACAGCCCTATGAGGTGGGTCAGGCTGCGAGTCTGTCTGGCCCAAAGATACCCAGTCATGGTGCAGTTGAGAACTAGAGCTTAATCTTCAACTGGTCCAACAGAGCTGCCAGGTGCTGTCGGGGGCCGGTCGTTATTCTCATATACACGGGTCCTCTTTCAGCTCCACTGGCTCCCGACTGAAGTCTGGGCCCATTCAAGGTGCTGGTTTTAACCCATAAAGCCCTAAACGGCTTATGACCAGAATACCTGAAGGATCGCCTCCTTCCCTATGTGCCCTCATGCCTCTTAAGATCGGCGGGGGAGGCCTTGATCCGGGAACTGTCCCTGAAGGAAGTGCGGAGGGTGTCTACCTGGAGGAGGGCCTTCTCCGCAGTGGCGCCCAAACTCTGGAATGCGCTCCCCAGAAAGGCCCACCTGGCGCCACCATTATACTCCTTCCGGCGCCGGGTAATGACCCTTTTATGGTAAAGACCTTAATCACCATTTTAATAATCAAGGGTTTTAGATGTCTTAAGCTTTTTGTTTTCTTGTTTTCACAGTCGCACTTCCTATTTTAGTTTTCCTTTCTTATTTTTTAGTTTACAGTGTTCAATTTTAGATGTTTTAATAAGTGTGGCTTTATCATTGCATTTTTGGAATTTTACACTATGTAAGCCGCCCTGAGCACTTGTGCGGAAGGACGGGATATAAATGCTTGTCATCGTCATCTTGTGAATCCCAGTCCAACACTCTAACCACTCTGCCACACTACCTTGACCAGCCTGCATTGTGGAAATACTGAGCTCTGGATGCCCTGGTCCGTTGGGAGGGGGAAGGAGCCAAGGACCCCTCAACACAGCTCCCTGCAACAGCAATCTCTTTCTGGCCACCCAGCTGAAGGCCAGTCAGGTGGGTCCATGGGGAAAGGAGGGAGGGCACCGACCAGTGCCACCAGGGAGCATTTTAAGAAGAATGCCTTAGCCTATTAAAGGTAAAGGTGAAGGTTTCCCCTTGACGCGAAGTCCAGGCATGCCTGACTCTCGGGGGCAGTGCTCACCTCCGTTTCCTGGCTGAGGGAGCCAGCGTTTGCCGACAGACGGTCTCCGTGGTCGTGTGGCCGCATGACTGAACACCAAGGTGCACGGAGCGCTGTTACCTGCCCACCGAAGTGGCACCTTTTTATCTACCTGCATTTGCATGCTTTCGAACTGCAAGGTTTGCAGGAGCTGGGACGGAGCAACGGGACTCTCCCCGTTGTGCAGATTCGAACCGGCGACCTTTCAATCCACCAGCCCAGCAGCACCGTGGTTTAAACCACTGCGCCACCTGCAGTCCCTTATTAGCCTATTACCCCAACCCTACCCAAGAGAAATTTAAAAAGGCTATAGCATTAATCTATTTACTGAACCTATATACCACTTTTCATGTGAAAAACGATTTCAAAGACACTTGTAGTAAAACAGAAGCAGATGATCTGGGACAGAAAAAATATTCCAAATTCAACAAGCAACACTGAATGCTGGTCTTGGTATTTTCCTGAGACTTCTGTCCTGCTCTGACCTCTAGGTCTTCACACATTTTTACAGGTTAAGTTTAGTGAAATTTCTGATCCAGCTTGGAGTTTCAACATATCTGATTCACCCTCTGCTTCTGATTTTCAACAAGGATTTTTTTTAAACCTTTGGTGTGTCATAAGCCTCCCTGAGGCATGTGAACACAGTTAAATAATTTGCAAAATCCTTTAGACAAACCAAGCGGACGGAAAAATCCCCATGTGACAATGAGTATATCCAACGTTTTACAATCACAAATCCAGTATTCGGAAGAGGTCCTGAAGTTGTAAAACGAAACACCTGGCAGCCCTGCGCATTAGAGCACAGATGCAACAGGGTATCAGAGGAAGAGGGGATTCCAGGTACCTCCTAAAAATGATGTGTCCATTATTAGGAAAGGAGAGAAAAAGCATTCCTTGTGGTGTGAGGAAAGTCTACGGCTGAGAGGGGAGTATGGGCAGGTCCCTCTGCTGCAGGACCTTATCTTCTTTGGATTTCTTTCTCTCCCGCTCAACAGCAGAAAACAGAACGTTACACATGCATCATGCACAAGCCACGGGCAAAGCAAAACGCGAAAGGTGCCGTACCGTGATGAGGTTGTGCTCGGGGAGGCTGCAGGCCTCAATGTGGTCCTGCAGCAATTGCTGGGAGAAGTTCTGGTGCATCTGCGCAGCTTCATGGGCGTCAATAGCATTCCCACACGCTTTGTTCAAATCTTTTTTTTGGAGGGGGAGGGGAGAGGGAGGGGGAGAGGGAGAGATTCCATCAGACCAGACTTTAAATCCCTCAGAGCGGGGGTCCACCCTCTCGCGATCCCTGCAAATCCAGTGCTGTTACATAATAAAAATGTTAGCACTACCTAAAGTGAACAAAAATCAGAAATGGCAATCAATGAATGCAGATTAAAATCAATTCCATGGCGTGGCTCCAGCCTAGATGATCTCCAAGAACTGAACTCACAGTATGACTCTCTGTCTTTGAGGCCTGTGCTTCTCGTGTCTGTACAATGAATATATGATCCTCTAACATGTATATATAGAATAAGACCATGCATTCCAAGCGTGAAAATATCTACATGGCGGTTAAAGAAAACAAATTCAGCTGCTGTCGAGAGGGAATGACAAACAGAAGCAGCAGGGGAAGAGAGGGAGCCCATCTCTGTTCACTCTGCGGCCAGAACTGCCCGTGTACTTCAGCCTGACATGGCACGAAAACCCTCACAAGATGGCTGCCCCTTATTTACTGAGCAGAAATGAGCCCATGGGAGCGCCTTGGCGTGACTGTACTTAGACCCGGCTCTGTAGGGGCCTGAACCGAGAAAACCACTGCACAGCAGGATGGAATTCTGGTTCTTCCCCGCTGCAGTGCCTGCCCGGACTGGCAGGGTCTCTCTGGGGTTGCCAGCAGGAGCTGGGGGCGTTCCGCATCATCTGGTCCTTTCCCAACTGCGATCGCTCGGATCGGACCCTGCCCCTGGACTTACCTCTCAAGAGGGCCGAGGACCACAGCTGCACCGACATGTCCGGGATCTTGCTGGCCAGCTGCATGGCCGGGACCACCATGTTGTTGCTCTCCTGGGAACGACAGCATCTTCGTCAAATGGTGTGGACTGTTGTCGCACTGAGATCAGTTTCTCCTGAATGTGCTGATGGGGTGACCTGGCAAAATGAAGCCAGCCTAGAAGGCTGCTCCCTGCCACCTTTAGAGCAGCACTCCGGAAAATTTAGCAGAATTCCCACCCTTTGCCCGTTGGCTCTCTCCCGCTGCGTCTGTCTGATGGCTCAAGCATCTTTTACGGTTTCTTCCAGAAAGTTTCAATCTGAGCATGGGGGTGGGTGAATCCTCCCCAGAAGGGCCCGAGCACTATGTTTTCATGGCAAGGGTGCAGGACCTGACAGGTGAGACACAAATTGGGCCCTTGGAAGCTCCCCAGATCCCCCCATCCCACCCTCATCTCCCCACAATCACTGATCACTGAGTGGCTTCCCAGCATGTGCGTTGTTTTCCCAATTCTACAAGAAGGAAATGACTCTCTCCACTTAGAGACTGGAAACAAGAGATTTAAACTAAAATATCCCAACAGTTCTGCTGAAATGCAGCCTTCAGATGCTTCTCTGGAAGAGAATTTAGTCCCAGCTCTAAAAGAGTTTCTGCCCCCTTTGTGCTGAGCATGAACTGGTTCCGGCAGCTTTCTATGGAGAATTCCACTGTGACTCTGCAGCAGGTAATGGATCTGACCACACAAAATGGGCAAAGGCACCTCCATGTGAGAGGCCAAAATAATGCCATTAAGTCATTTCTCTCAGCATCCTTTTTTAAAAACTGATTTTCTCCTTCATGACATTTCGTTCTTCCCTCTTTCTCTCGTTCGTGGTTCTGCAATATTTGCCAACATGGAGGAACGTGCATGTGTTGCAAACACAATACTTTAATTGGATTGATTAATCCCAACCAGTCTCCTGAAGTGACAGTTTGGAAGCCAACATTCTAAAAAAGGAGATACGGGCCGGATCTGCAGGGGACTTATGAACAGAGCAGGGCAACCGACCAGTGCCCGACGCAACCTTCCACCTGCACACAAGAAAGTGAGCGAAAGAGCGGAATGGGGTCACTCCTGAGCAATCCTTTCTGGCTTCTCTCCTCCTCTGCAGTTCCCCGCCCTCAAATGAGCCAATTCGGAAGTCACAACTTGGCCCAAGCACCACGTACATGCAAAAAGCAGCCCCCCCTCAGTGCGTTTCCTCAGCAGACACCTGAGAAGCTCTGAGGCGAGAGCACCTGTCCTGGCCAACAACTCCGGTGCTGGCGAAGGGAGAGATGCTGGGAGGCTTCATGGCTTACCCGGTGATTCCCCAGTACGTAGAAGATATGGCCCAGGAGAACAAGGGAGCAAGCCGTCAGCCGGTTCAGATCCTCTGCATTCGACATCTTCAGAGTCTCCCTCAGAAAACGCCTACGGAAACAGACATGACAGAGAAGGTCCAGGAACAGCAGGCTGATGCATTTCACGCGGATGCCTACCCCGACCCCCTCGGACAATTCCCAATCTGTCCGTCCTCCAGTCTCCCAAGGGCCATTAGGCAGCTAAATCTAGAACTCTCCACCTCCCTGCAGTCTCCAGAAGTAGGTGGGAGACTCTCTCAATCATTAATTTATGTCATTCGGGACAGAAAAATCTAGAAAATTCCACTCCGGTTGGACAGTCACTGTTGTTTTCTCACAACATCTCTCAACTGATCTTTCCCCACGTATTGCAATCCCTCACTCTTCCCCTTTTCAGTCTTCGCTTCCTGTGTGTTGTGTCCTCCTGGGAGAGTTTTATTTTGGTTACCATTTATTCTGTAAGCTGTCCTGAGCGCTTGGCGGAAGGATGGGATATAAATGCTTGTAATACATAAATAAATAAAAAACAGCTCGGGCTGCAGCATCTCAGGCGTGGCAGGGCCTCAACCCAGGGATCCGGGGGGCCTCTGCCTCTCCCCCCCACTGGGCAGTGTTTCTGCAAGGGTGGCAGGCCCCTCTGGAGACTGCCTCTGGCCGCATGGACGTGCAGCTCCAAGATCTGCCTCATTTGCTTTCAGCACCCTCCTGCACTGGGGAGCAGTTTCTTCAGGAGTTTGAAAACGGTCGGAAGATGTTTCAGCAGCCCTGCACCCAGGAGTCCTGTCCCCACAGCCATGTTCGGGGAGGAGGCAGCAGAAGGAAGCGGGCAGGGCGGGGCGGGGCGGGGCCTGCTTGCATACAGGGTCCCAGGTCTGGCAGAGCTTTTGCTGCAATCCATTCCAAGGACTCCCCACAGGAAGCCAGGAGGCTGCTGTTTGTGGCCAGGCAGGTGGGCCCAGCTCCTGAGGGGGTTCCATTCCCCGCCCCGCCCCGCCCCTCGATCACCTTCCCCCTGCCAGCCGATCCTGCATGACTCACTTGGCTTCGTTGTATCGCCCCTGGAAGAAGGAAAAGAGTCCCCGGATGTAGAAGGCTGCCGCCCGCAGGCAGTGAGAGCTGGGGATGAGGCAGAGGAGCATGTGTGAACGACAGAAGGGAGGGGAGTGCACCCCCCTCCTCTGCACGGCCAAAGAGCGCCCCTCCCGGCTCTTTCCACAGCCTGACGTGTTTTCAGGCACCCTCATTTCCCCACTCCCTAACGAGCCAAGGGATGCTTCTTGCACGATGCACCCCCTTGCTTCCCCCACCCGCCGTCTGTCCACACCAGGCTCACGTGAGGGACCGGGCCGGGGCTGCAGGTCGTAGCACCACAAAGCCGCTCTGGCTGGTTTTGATGACTCATCTTTAAGGCACCATGCCTCATGGTGGGGTATCAGGTTTCTGGCTGGGAGCCTTGGCTTATGCTCATTCTTGCTGGGATTTACTTTCAACTACACAAAGGCAGCGGCAAAGAAAGGTGCCTGGCATGCTGTACCCTTTTGTCTGATGGGGTGCGGGGAACCGTTGCCTCTGGCAGCCAGCTAGTCGCATAACCCACCGTTGTGTTTAAAGTGTTCAGAGCTGCACATACCTCACAGGGAAGTTGTGGTCTGGGTTTATCCTCTCCAATAAACTGTAAAGCTAGCATTCAAGGCAGAAAAGGGGAGTTAGGATTCATCAACACACATTACTTTTAAAATAAGTACAGGCAAAAGAGAAGCAAGCAATAGCCTGCACTCAAGGGATTTGACTCGGGAACATTTTCCAAAGCAGCCCTGTGACTAGCAGCGGCGAAAAGAGAGCAGCAAGGAATACACACGAATCTGAGGCTTGGGACTGCAAGTGCTGCCTGCACGAAACCTTGGAAATGCAAAAGCGGTGGCCGAAATACATTGCTAGGGGCTGAAGTTTCACTGCACCGCTCTTTGCTCTCCCAGGGAGTAGCAAAATCAAAATAAACCTACGCAGGTTTATGCAAAAGTCATCACGTTATGTTCTGTCAAGGGTGTGCAATGCTTCAGAAGTTAATCTTTCCTTGCAACTGGATTTGGACTGCATCCATTGAAGCCCGAAGGAGACAGACACAGTGGGATAACCCTCAGAGGATTCTGAGAGGTTGGAGGGGGGGATCCGCACATCATACCCCAACACACCTAGCTCTGCAGCCAGGTGCTCTTTCAGGGCACGGCAGCCGAACTTGGGAGCCACCTGCCCAACACGTGCATTTCCAAATATATTTTATTTATTATTTATTTATTAAAACATTTTTATGCCGCCCCATTCGCCGAAGCCTCGAGGCGGCTTACAAATATATGCAAATGAGAGGAATTTTTCAGCATACAGCACAAAGCATTCAGGAACTCTGGAATAACGGGACAATTTATCAACAGATATTGTTTGTTTTGTGTGTGGACTACCACCAACATGGACCAGGAACTGTTCCGTTACATTTAATTGCTTGGGGAAAGGTAAGCATTGCTTCTGCAGCATCCTAAAATGGGTTTCTTTTACAAAGGTAGATAAAAGTCCATTTCTTCCTGGGCAATGCTAGTTGTAGGACATTTTCTGTCTAAGCCTGCCGAGGCTTGAACCCGTATTATTTCCCCCTTCCCTCTCCTATCACCCCATTTAACTTCTGTGTCTCATGTTCTTTGCTTTTAAGCCTGTGAGGCATGGACTTTTTTTGTTTTTTGATTTACCTCTTGGTGCCGGTTCCCCTCCCTGATGTAGACACTTGCGAGGTTTGTCACAATGAAAGCCCACAACTCCTGATGGGTGGTGAGCTGCAGCAAGGGGAAAAAAAAAGAAAAACATCAAGGACACGGTTGAGGTAAACCTGAGTTCCATGCCCGATAATGAGGATGTTGAAAACCAGTCTTACCCGGAGTGCTGTGGTGAACTGCGCTTCTGCGTTGTCCATGCAGTTCACGGAAATGCAATACAACCCCTGCAAAAGAAAAGAGGATTACCATTTCAAAATTCAGGCTACTAGAAAACCAAACAAAATCGGGGAAGAGAAAGTGGTGTTGTGGGAAGCACACCTCGAATATATTCTGTTTCCTGGGACCTGATGCAGATGTAGAAGGCAGGGCATGCGAGTCTAACCTCTTAGCAGCCCAAGGAGGCAAAGATGAGGCCAGAGTGACCTGGCTGTCTTCTCTCCCGTGAACGTGCGTGCATCCGCTGCCTCGGACTGCAGGGTGTCTTAACACCTACACAGCCCTTCACCTCTTTTGTATCTTCAAGTGCTGGGATGCGATAGGCAGTCAACAGAGCAGCCTCTCATTTCAAAATGCTGGCCAAAAATGGTGGGGGGGGTGTCCCAAAATACCGTGTATTGAGGAGAAAGAAGAAAAGAAGGGCAGTATTCTGGCAACCCACGTAGGGTATTTTCTTCTGCCCACAGAGATAGCCATATCCTCAAGTTGTTCACACTAACTGTTATCTAGGTAATTTTGCAAAATAGATTACATCCATTTCAGCACTGTGGTGCCTTGGCTCACAAATGGCTCAGTTCATGACCAAATCAGGTTGTGAACAGAAATGTCAGAAAAATTTTGCCTCAGGTCGCGAACTCTGCATTGGGTGGCGGGTGCAATCGTGGTCTTGCTTGGGGGGGGGGGGGGAGAGATGGCCGCGATCTGCTCAGGGAGGGGAAGATGGGTGCGATCTTTGTTGTTGCCACTTTGCTTCAAATTTTTGTGATTTAAAAAAAAATGTTACAGAACAGATTAACCTTATTTACATTGACCCTTATGGGAAAATTTGACTTGGCTCATGTCCAATTTGGGTCCTGGAAGGGATTAAGATCATGAGCCAAGGTACCACTGTATTAGATTCATTACCTATTGCTCTCTGTGTGATTATAAAGATGAGAGAAATAGATAAATACTTTTGTAAGCCTAGAGACATGCTTTGGCAGCATATAATTGGAAATAGAAACAAATTATATATAATTATTAGCTTATGAAATAAAACTTTCTTGCACAGGGGTCTTCTATGTTCTTTCCTCTTACAACTTTTTTCGCGGATTTGCAAAAAGAAACCGTCTCTTTAATTTATTCTCTTTAAACACAGCCTTGTCATCCAGTTTCTGAGCAGCATTTCCTAACCTGCCCCATCTCAGTAACTCCAGTCAAATTAAGCCAGCATGCACTGTGAAATTGCAAAATCCACTGGGATTGCTTTAAATCTGGGAAACTGCAACCTTTTCCTCTTATCACCACGCGGAATGTTGGAAATCCTTCTCAAGACTCGGCTTCGAAATCTGCACACGCTGTAGAACATGTCAGCGCGGGATGATTTCAGGAGCGGTGTAACAAGGCGGCAGATACTCACCAGAAGGGTATGCAGCTGGGCAGCGTGATTGGAAAAGAGACGAGGGGACTGCTGGCAAAGCTGGCAAACCTGGGAGATCTTTGGGCACAGAGAGAGCGGAGAACACCGTGTGTTATTCTGCAGTGTGGGCAAGCTTTTTGTACTTCCCCTAATTGCCACCCAGCACACTGCCCCCATGATGCACAGATACTGGCCCCCAACTTGCTTGGGGTGGGATAACTCCGTGCCAAACTGCAGGAGTGCCCTGCTAGGGACTCTCGCGCTTGGCAGCGTTTTTGGGAAACGTGGCAGAGTCCCACCACGGCCTTAGTCGAGTGCCTCGCCCCCGACGGACAGGAACAAGGGCACCCAGGCGATGTCAGAAGCCTGCGCTTACCTCCTGCAGGGCTGTGGCTTTATGGCCCGTGACGAGACGGCACATGATGATGTGCTCCAGAAGGATCACTTGGAAGGAAGACAGGATGGGGCTGCAGTCCAGCACTGGAGGAGAAAAGCAGCACTGGGAAAAGGAAGGGCGGGGAGAGGCAGGCAGCCCCGACCTCAGAGGGGCGACTGCAGCCGCCACTGCCCTTCTGGGGCACGGAAGCAGCCTGACAGCCTGCAAGGCCTGGGCTGCGAGAACCACCCTCCTGGCCCAGTTCCCTGCCTCTGTGGGGGGAAATGAGGCATGCCGAGACGGGCAGGCCACAAGCGGTTCGTCCAGGGAACATTGTGTGGCTCTCCCTGAGGAGCAAGAAGGAAGCTGGGCCTTTTCACAGCTGTTTGGGAATGCAACACGGTGGGGGAAGCCATTCTGAATTCAGCTGGCACGTGCAGCTACCAGGACCGGACTGACTGGGGGTGGGTTTGTGATGGGGACTTTCCCTGACCACTGAAAAGGGAATTTAGCCTTCCAACTGGGCAATGGAGGGGAGTAAGAAAAAGGAACACGGGCTGGCAGAGAAGTGAATGATTCCCATTGGGCATTCAAGCGCAGCCTTCGAGCCTCGCACAAAAAAGCCCTTCCTGCTTCTCACTTTTGAGTTTCTCCAGCTGCATCAGAGCTTTGTCCGTGTACTTCTGCGCCTTCTCCAAGTACCCAGCCTGCATGGAGTGCATCACCGTCACCTGGCGGGGGGAAACCAGAACCCTTCCCTGTCACTTTGCAAGAAAAGGCCCAACACTCTCCTGCTGCAAGCAACCTCGACCCGTTTCACACCCAATGATGTGATGCAGTCGTTGAAAGGAGTTCCTCTGGATGGCCAACGTGCCTGCTGGCACAGCACCTGTGCAACTGGCGCCTACGTGTTTAGAACTGCTTGCTCTCCCCAGCACGGTGGGGACTGAGGTCCTCATTTGGAAACTCTCCTCCTTAAAAATGCAGGTAGCTTGCACACACACACACACACACACACAGTCTTTGCCTTCTATTTCCAGGCTACCAACATCGTATTCCCTGCTTTTCAAATTTATCTCTGTATGTAAAAGTTGGTGCTCACAGAAGCTGCCCTTCTCAAAATTCCCAGGCTGCCATTTGAGCTCTGTGGGACTGCCTTTTCAGCAAAGTCAAGAAGAGGTTTCTGCCCCACTAAACCAGGGCCCAGCCTAGCTCAGTGCTGTCTCCTGGGCTGGCAGCAGCTCTCCAGGAACTGAGGCAGAGAGAGGTGCCTGAAAGGTCCTGGGGTCTAAACTTGGAGCATTTTCACAACAAGTCAAGTGTTCTAACGTCTGAGCTGTGGATATTCCCGAGGAACATGTGACAGGACAGGCTGGCAGCCCTATTATTGGCCCGGAGTGTGTGACCATGATTCTTTCAGATTTCAGGTTTGATTTCAGCCCCATCAACTGCTAATCAAGAACCCAAGTTTCTTGGAGCAAAATGCAAAAAAAAAAAAAAAAAAAAAATCTTACTAGCAACTCAGGGGAAGAAAGCCACCAAAGTCTCCACCAAACACCGAGCACCCCGTTGTCCCCGAGTGAAAATATAATTACAGGGACGCAACAAACAGAGTGCCCACAGAGCAGTGGTGGAGGCCTTCTTTGCAAGCGCAAGCTCCGAGGAGAAACCCGCATCCTCCCCGGTTACAGCAGAGGATGGGAGGGGCGTTTCTCTGCCTGCTCCCGAGAGTGCCGGCACGCACTGGGCCCGGGAGACCGCGGGCCTGACCCGGCACGGCTTCCAGCAGCACCGCCAGGTTCCCGAGTCCGAGCGAGACGCAGCAGCTCACCAGGTACACCAGCACACACATGTGCTCCTTGGGCAGCCAGTGGAACAGGTCTGCAGGGTTGCTGGGCAGGATCTCGTCGTCATGCAGGGTGGAGATGGTCTGGATGCACTGCTGCAGCTGCTTCAGGCAGGGCTTGACGCTCTTCACCTGAGGCAAAGAGCGGCTGCATCAGAAAAGGCGACGCCAAGCCACGGTCACAGCAGCTCAGAGAGCGCCGGCACCGCAGACTGGGAACGGGGCACGGAGCCTGGAGAGTCGCCGGTGCCGTTAGAGAGAAGGCAGCTTCCTTTGAGTCACAGAAGCCTGCCTGCCTGATTTATTTATTTAAAACTTTTGTATGCCATCCCTTATGCACAGCATCTCAGGACGGCTTACAATCATTAAAACAAAGTCGCCAGTGTCATTAGAGAGAAGGCAGCTTCCTTTGAGTAACAGAAGCCTGCCTGCCTGATTTATTTATTTAAAACTTTTGTATGCCGTCCCTTATGCATGGCGTCTCAGGACGGCTTACAATCATTAAAACAACCACAATGAAACAGCAAACATAATAAATAACAATTAACCAAAAATGCACATTAAATAAGTTAAATAAAAGCGACTGTTAAACATTAAAATTTGAATTGGTTTTTAAAATAACTGTTAAATAAAATTGAAATTAGTTTTTAAAATAAAGTTGAATAAAAAGGTTGTAACCTGGCACCGAAAAGAATATAAACTTGGCGCCAGGCGAGCCTCTCCAGGGATCCAAATGAGGAAAGCCAGGAGGGAGGCTTGAGAGATGCAAAATCACATGGAAGAGCATTATTGCTAGCAATGCCAGCGCCAACAAGAAAGAGTCCTTCAAATCTATCAAGAAGCAAGAACCCAGGCAGAGAGGCACTGGGCCTCTAGATGATAGGTTAAAGGAGTACTACAGGAGAGTAAAGAAAATTCAGAGATGCTGAATGAACCCTTTTCGTCTGACTTTACAACGGAAGACAGAAGGCCTATACCTGTGCCTAAACTTATATATTCAGGGAGTCAGAGGCATTAAGGGAAAGCGTGGTGACAAAGGGTGAAATTCTCAATCACTGATACATCACAGTCAGTCAAATCCTTTATTTTCAAGGGGATATAAGGAGGGTGGGTATTAGGAGGGTTAGTACCCGGAGGAGGGCCTTCTCTGCGGTGGCACCCCATCTATGGAATGTGCTCCCCAGAGAGGTCTGCCTGGCACCGTCATTATTTGTTTTTCGGCGCCAGGCTAAGACCTTTTTATTTAAACGTCATTTTAATTGTTAATTTGACTATTTATTGGGTTTTATATTGTGCCGAGATATCTCCAAAGTTTTAAGGTTAATTATGTGTACGGTTTTCTGTTTTGTAAGCCGCCCCGAGGCTCTTTGCAAATGGGGCGGCATAGAAATGTTTTAAATAAATAAATGCATGAATGAGAGTAGGGCTGAGATGTGTTCCCTTCCTCACAACTCAATTCCACTCCCCATCCCCCTGTATTCAGGCTCTGTAATATAGCCACGTAGCCTGAAGTGCCTGATCCTGCCTAATCTTGGAAGCTAAGCAGGGTCAGGCCTGGGCAGAAGTGGGATGGGTGACTTAAGTGTACGAGTCTATTGCTGTCAACTGCCTAGAGAGCTTTGGCTATAGGCCGTATAAAATGTAATAATAATAATAATAATAATAATAATAATAATAATAATAATAATAGTGTGCATTACATGCAGTATCATGCAGAAAACTTTAAAAATGGGCAGAACAGGATGCATGCCATGTCTGCAACTTGAAAGCAGCTTTTAAGCGGAACTGAAGGCAAATGCTTTTCCACCGGAACTTCTTTAAGAGGGGGGTTTTTCTGGTGCGATCAGAAGATCCAGTGAAAACCAGACCCATCCTTCAGGCTGCACCTGCCCCTGCGGCCAAGCGGGATGGCTCTTTCCCCAAGCTGCAGCACATAGACTGCCTTGGACCTCACCACCTTCACTGACCTGCCCAGCATCCAGGTAATGAGTCACTTGAAGCACCAAGAAGAAAACCCGCAAGGACTCCTTCTGAATGGGGTTTCCCTGCCAGTTCTCGACAATCTGCCCACAGAGCGTGAGCAGTGGGTGCACCTCTTGAAGCTTTCTCTCCATGAGCAGCAGCTGCAATGAAGAAAGAAGGAGATGAGGAGCAGTGGTGCAGGACAGAAGCGTTGATAATGTTTTGACGGACATGCCAAAGGAATTTTCCCCTTGGGATTCTTCCCTCATGGTAGTGCTTGATATTTCTGCCTAAAGGGAGCAGAGAGAGGAGCTGGTGCCGGACGCCCAAAAGGCCTGTTCGTTCGTTCTTTTAAAGTGCAGGTCAAAAATTAAGACTCAAGCTGTGTGCCAGTGACACCACTAATGGGAATAGTGCTTCCCGTGCAAAGGGAAGAAAAGGACCCCAGCTGAGACGTGACCTGGAAGGAGAAAGTAAAGAAACGTAATGGCAAGATTGCTGGCCATTCTTCCTGGAGTGGAGAACAGAACAGACCGCTTGCCATTGCCAAGAAAAGAGGCTGATTCTGATTTAAACCACTTTTCCCATTAAAAACTGTTGCATGCATTTCTTGAACAATGGTGCAAATTGAGCCACAGGAGTAAAAGACCAGTCAAGTATTCTTAAAAGCAGGCTCACTTGCCGTACTTATTCCGGGTGCATCCCTTTTTCATCTACGAAAGAACCACTGCCAGATTAATAATGATTTAAATAATTTAAAATTTAAATCACCACCCAACCCCTGCATGCTCTGCTGTATGCTAATCAACTCTGACTACAGACTTAAGTCTAATATATAACAAGTGTTGCATTTTCTTAATCAGTCAAAAGTGCACGCAACTTACCATGCCTTTACTTAGTAGAAACAGGGCCCTGGAAGAAGAACGTGCTGCATTACAAGTCAGGCACTCGAGATGAGTCAGAAGGCACGGCACACTCCCAGGGATCCCCCGCCCCGCATCAGCCTCTGTTTTCCTTTATTTATTTATACGTATTTATGGGCCTAGTGACAGATCTTATTTTCCTGGGCTCAACAAGATCACCGCATACGGCGACTGCAGGCAAGAAATTAAAAGACTCCTGCTCCTGGGGAGGAAAGCTATGGCAAACCTAGGCAGCATACTAAAAAGCAGAGACTTCACCCTGCCAACAAAAGTGCATATAGTCAAGGCTATGGTTTTTCCAGTTGCAATGTATGGCTGTGAAAGCTGGACCAGAAGGAAGACTGAGCGCCGAAGAACTGAGGCCTTTGGATTGTGGTGCTGGAGGAGACGCCTGCGAGTCCCTTGGACCGCAAGGCGATCAAACCGGTCAGTCCTAGAGGAGATCAACCCTGACTGCTCTTTAGAAGGGCACATCCTGAAGATGAAGCTCAAATACTCTGGCCACGTAATGAGAAGGAAGGACTCCCTGGAGAAGAGCATGATGCTGGGAACAATAGATGGCAAAAGAAGGAGGGGACGGCAGAGGATGAGGTGGCTGGATGGGGTCACTGGGGCGGTGGGTGTGGGCTTGGATGGACTCCAGGGGATGGTGGAGGACAGGAAGGCCTGGAGGAGTGTTGTCCATGGGGTAGCGAAGGGTTGGACACGACTTTGCAACTAACAACAACAACAAATTTATAGGCCGCTCATAATTGCCAAGGCCTTCCTAGGCAGCTTGCAATGCCCAAACATACTAATAGAGTAAAAACACATTAAATACCAATGAAAACATAATGAATTATGCATCTATAAAAACAATTAAAAAGTGCCACAGCATGCAGGCTAAATGTTAAAAAAAATCTAAAAAGAAATGTCTTTGCCTGGTGTTGAAAGGGAAATAGAGGTGGCACCAGGTGTATTTCCCAAGGGAGAGAGTATCTCATTTAACTCTGCTGAGAAGGGAAAGTGGTGTATGGCCAGAGGCTCCGTGCCCTGGGAAGGCACCTGTCATTTTGCAGAACAGAAGCATGGTACAACAGCTCTGTAGAGCACCACAAATGCTTTCCAGAAGCTTCTGCTGCCTTTCCCAACCACCAGAAGAACAAAAACCTCCTACCTTGTGTATTCAGACCCCACCACACGGGCATATTCAGCTCCAACTCCCAGAAGGTCACAAGCAGACACCAGGTCCTTTTCAAGGGTGTGGAGTTGCTAATTGGGAAAACAGAGAGGGACACATTGTGGAGCTGCCTCCCGCCACCTGAATCGAGCCTTATGGCTGCCCGCATGAGTCAAGCGTCCTGCGACAAAGAGGCCGATGGGCTGTCGGCAGTGTTCAGGCTCTCATTCATATCCAGAGTAAAGCGTAAGAGAGGTTTGATTGTGCAACATTCAGCAACTTGCACACCCACGCGTGCGTGGTTCCGATGCCCAGCACAAGATGCAGCGGCGTGAATGAACCTTTCACACTCCGTATTTTCCTTGCAGAAATAAGATAGTAAATCCCAGGGTTGGAAAAAAAATGATATTATGCTAGAATCAGCAATGGTACCTCAAGGCACTGGTCACTGCTAATGTCAGGCTTGCCACCAGGTGCCCACTTAAATATGCGCCCTCCCAGGTTCACAACCAAACTTGTAAACCCCCCGTTTACAAAAGCCCTTTCTGCCACCAGTCATGTGACAGAAGCAGAGAAGGGAAAAGCAGACAGGAAAAAGTGCTTGTGGACTAGCACACTTATTTGTGAGGATGCTCACACCCTTCTCTCACAGCCCTTGAGGGCCTGGGTACCTTGCGGGCATGGATAGGTTTTCTTCTGAGGCCTTCCTTCCTCTCTCCCTGTCCCTCTACCTCACAGTATTCCCCACAGCCCCCTAATGCCCAAACTGGACTTACTGCAAGCTGGAAAAGAAGGCGGCAGTGCCAGTAGGGAGTCTGCTGAGAGATCTGGATGGCTTTCCGCAGCAGTGGCTTCGCTGTATCGACAGAGTTCTGAAAGGAAAGGCAACAAAAATCAACTCACGGAAGACCGCCCCCCCCCCAAAAAGTGAGGGTACAAGTTCAGACCCCTTCACAGATCACTGCCTTGCTGTGGCGAAAGGGTTTGTGTAGCACAATTAGGCTATGAGCTATGCTGTGCAGGGGCACCCAAGACAGACAGGTCAAAGCAGAGAGCTCTGACAAAACGTGATCCACTGCAGAAGGAAATGGCAACCCACTCCAGTCCCCTTGCCATGAATCCCCATGGACTGTTCTAAAAGGCAAAACGATACGACACTGGAAGATGAGACCCCCAGGTCAGAAGGTGTCCAATGCGCTACTGGGGAAGAGCAGAGGGCTAGTACTAGTAGCGCCAGGAAGAATGAAGCGACTGGGTCAAAGCCGAGAGGACACTCAGCTCTGGATGTGTCTGGTGGTGAAAGGAGAGTCCGATGCTGCAAAGATCTATACTCCATAGGAACCTGGAATGTAAGATCCATGAATCAAGGCAAGCTGAACACGGTCAAACAAGAGATGACAAGACTGAACATTGACATCTTAGGAATCAGCAAACTAAAATTGGACAGGAACAAGTGAATTTAATTTAGATAACTATCAGGTGTACTACAGTGGGCAAGAATCCCTCAGAAGAAGTGGAGCAGCCTTCATAGTCAATAAATGAGTACGAAAAGCAGTACTGGGATGCAATCTCCAAAATGAGAGAATGATCTCAGTCTGAATCCAAGGCAAACCATTCAACATCACAGTAGTCCAAGTCTGTGCCCCAACCACTGGTGCTGAAGAGGCTGAAGTTGACCAGTTCTACACAGACCTGCAACACCTTCTAGAAATAACACCCAAAAATGATGTCTTTATGATCACGGGGGATTGGAATGCTAAAGTAGGAAGCCAAAAGATAACTGGAAAAACAGGCAAGTTTGGCCTTGGAGTACAAAATGAAGCAGGGCACAGGCTGGGAGAATTTGGTCAAGAGAATACGATGGTCATAGCAAAGACTCTTTTTCAACAACCCAAGAGTCGACTCTACACGTGGACACCACCAGATGGTCAACACAGAAATCAGATTGACTATGTGCTCTGCAGCCAAAGATGGAGAAGCTCTATACAGTCAGTAAAAACAAGACCAGGAGCTGGCTCCTGAACAGTGTAAAGAAGAACACAATAGAATAGGAAAAACTAGAGATCTCTTCCAGAAAATTGGAGATATGAAGGTTTCATGCAAAGATGGGCATGATAAAGAACCAAAATGGCAGGGACCTAACAGAGGCAAAAGAGATTAAGAGGAGGTGGAAAAATTACACAGAAGAGCTATACAAGAAAGAGCTTAACGTCCCTGATAACCACAATGGGGTGGTCACTGACCTTGAGCCAGACATCCTGAAATGTGAAATCAAATGGGCCTTAGGAAGTCTGAGCAACAACAAAGCTAGTGGAGGCGACAATATTCCAACTGAGCTATTCAAAATCCTCAAAGACGATGCAGTAAAAGTGATACACTCAATATGCCAGCAAATTTGGAAAACTCAGCAGTGGCAACAGGATTGGAAAAGGTCAGTTTGCATTCCGATCCCAAAGAAGGGCAATGCCAAAGAATGTTCAAACTACCGCACCATTGCACGCATTTCACATGCTAGCAAAGTGATGCTCAAAATCCGACAAGCTGGGCTCCAGCAGTATGTGGACCGAGAACTACCAGAAGTACAGGCAGGATTTCGAGGATGAAGAGGAACTAGAGATCAAATTGTCATCATATGCTGGATCATGGAGAAAGTGAGGGAATTCCAGAAAAAATCTACTTCTGCTTCATTGACTATGCTAAAGCCTTTGATTGTGTGGATCACAACAAATTGTGGCAAGTTCTTAAAGAGGGGGAGTACCAGACCATCTTATTTGTCTCTTGAGAAACCTATATGCTGTTCAAGAAGCAACAGTGAGAACTGGACACGGAACCACTGATTGGTTCAAAATTGAGAAAGGAGTTCGGCAAGGCTGTATACTGTCGCCCTGCCTATTTAACTTATATGCAGAGCACATCATGAGAAAGGCTGAGCTAGAAGGATCACAAGTTGGAATTAAAGATTGCAGGGAGAAATATTAACAACCTCAGATATGCAGATGATACCACTCTCATGGCAGAAGGTGAAGAGGAACTAAAGAGTGAAAGAGGAGAGTGCAAAAGTTGGCTTGAACTCAACATTAAGGAAACTAAGATCATGGCATCTGGTCTTATCACTTCCCGGCAAACAGATGGGGAAGAAATGGAGGTAGTGACAGATTTTATTTTCCTGAGCTCCAGGATCACCGCAGATGGGGACTGCAGGCAAGAAATTAAAAGATGCTTGCTCCTGGGGAGGAAAGCTATGGCAAACCTAGGCAGCATACTAAAACGCAGAGACATCACCCTGCCAACAAAAGTGCGTATAGTCAAGGCGATGGTTTTCCCAGTTGCAATGTATGGCTGTGAAAGCTGGACCATAAGGAAGGCTAAGCGCCGAAGAACTGAGGCCTTTGGATTGTGGTGCTGGAGGAGACGCCTGCGAGTCCCTTGGACCGCAAGGCGATCAAACCGGTCAGTCCTAGAGGAGATCAACCCTGACTGCCCTTTAGAAGGCCAGACAGTGAAGAAGAAGCTCAAATACTTTAGCCACCTAATGAGAAGGAAGGACTCCCTGGAGAAGAGCCTGATGCTGGGGACGATGGAGGGCAAAAGAAGGAGGGGGCGGCAGAGGATGAGGTGGCTGGATGGGGTCACTGAAGCAGTCGGTGTGAGCTTAGCTGGACTCCGGGGGATGGTGGAGGGCAGGGAGGCCTGGAGGAGTGTTGTCCATGGGGTCGCAATGGGTTGGACGTGACTTCACGACTAACTAAACATAACAAGTTTAGGACTAAAAAAAAGAGCAGAAGTAACCAAAATGAGGCCGGACTAAGCAAAACAGGGTACCTACTAATACCTTGAACAAAGGCTGAACAAGTCTGCAACACAGAATCAGAAAGATGAGAAATTCTACTTCCTCCAAATTATGTACTATTAATTTTATTCATTGGATTTCTAGCCTGCCCTTTTAGCTACATGACTGCCTGAATGGGTTACAACAACAAAACCACAGATACAAGATAAAATACTACATAAAAACAAGAATGGCAATCAAATTGGCAATTAAAATGCCACTGAAATAAAAAGGTCTTTGCCTCACAGCAAAAGAAATACAGAGAATGCGCCAGGCAAGTCTCTCTGGGGTGTGTGTCCAAAGAACCCTTTGAGTGAATGTAGACCTGCCTCAGAAATATGGGGAAGATTCATTATAAGCTGAAGATAAAGAGGGCAGTCGGATTTTTCTAGCTGGTTTGGAGCAATCTGTGACTTGGCCCAGGGCCTGAGCAGCTCCTCTGGTCCAGGTTCTGTCCCTGGCATCTTGGATGAAAACAGGTGGGAAACAGATGGCCCTCCAGATGCTGGTGGCCTGCAACTCCCACAGCCTTTCAGGAAGAATGGGCAGAGTCGTGGGACAACACATAAATGGCAGCTTCCTACACTCATCGAGTTTAAAATCTTGCCTCTGTAGGACAGTTAGCAGCTTCCCATCCTACAAGGACTCAGAAAACCATGTGGGAAGGAGGGATGGGTGGATGGATAGGTAGGTAGGTAGTTCTTTTCCACTTACCTCTTGACAATACAGCTCAGACAAGAGGCTGGCAGCCTCAAATTTGACATCTTCAAACTGAGGAATCTAGCGGCAGCAAGGTTAAGCTAATACACTAGAAGTTTCCATTGGCCAGATAAATCGGGATCGCAGTATCATAGAGCCAGGATCATTAACTAACCTTATACCCTGTTCGGCACAGGATCAGCAATGCAAGCCTGCAGAGTCATGTCCTTCCATTTAAAAGCTTCCAGCAAAGACAGACCTAAATACTGAGGAAAATCTGCATCCAAAGCAGACAGAACTCAAATGCTTCCTCAAAAGCACAGTATGTAATCAATGGTCCTTACTAACATTTTTTCCTTCTTTTTCTTAAGTTCTTGATATGTTTTATACTGTTTTAATAAATGAGGTTTTACATTGTACTTTTATATTTTGTAAGCCATCCTAAGCACTTGGCGGAAGGACGGGAAATACATGCTTGTGATAAATGAATAATACATTTCAGTCATGCTTAGCTGGATGGGGTGAATTACTGCATCTGGCAATCCAGGGGGGAAAAGTTTACATGGAACTAACCCGATTTTCATGAGAGGGGGAAAAAAAGGATACTTGCTGTGATATCAGCCACTGTAAAAGAAACAGAGAAAAATAAGAAAAGGTCCAAAGTCATCAAACATGGAGCTGGGCCTTCATCACCCTCCAAAATGCCCACTCATACCTAAAACCATTACTTGAATCCTTCTCACATTTCCCAAATGTCCCAATTCCTTCTGGGGCTGTTCCTACACTGATTACGTAATCAAGGGCCCTAACTCTTGTGTTTCAAAATGCCCTCTGCACAAAAAGGTCAGATCCTGAGTTCAGTCTGGCGAAAACTCAACCACTATCACAGACCATCTGCTGTTGCACCAGCAGCCGCTCAGTCGGAAAAGAGCTGGAAAGTGGGCAAAAAGGATCAAAAGCTGCCAAACGGTTTGTGGAAGAATCCCCTGCCATACCAAGATTCTCACTTCAATCCTTTACCCTGCAGATTTGTTCTACTCATCCTCTCTTCCTATTCCATATGCTTGAAAGGAATATTATAAGCGCCTGTTTTATCATCTGGGTAACATGGCCTGTTTGTTTACACCTCCCACCTTCTCTTTCTGCTTTTGACAGAGCACGATACTGATCTTGAATACTTCTTGTAGATTGCTGTGTGTACGTGCCTGGCTAGCTCAAGCTTGTCCCTGTATGCTTTTCTTGTAAAATTTTGAGCAAAAAAGAGAATTTTGGCAGTGGAGAGAAATGCACCAATGTTATAATACAGCAATCAGGTTGGCACTCACAACTAACATCTAACTCGAGAATGGGCAGGGGGCACAGACGAGCAATGAGCCCCCCCCCCCCACCACCATGGTTTTCAATTCGCAAGCCAGGAATGAACTCAGAGGCAGTGGGCTCTTGCTGGATTTAACCGCTGAACCACCAAGAGTTTGCGGTTCAGCCATCACAAAACAATGCAGGAACCTGGGATGTTGATTGGAGCTGGGCAGGAACATACATGCTTACTCACAAGTTAGGTAGCAACCCTTACAAGACTGTAGCCAAAACACAACTACTGAGAATCAGGGAGCAGAAATCAGAATGGCTGGGGGAAAGCCCCAGTGCAAAGAAGAGAGTTATGTGAAAACCTTGGCGAGGTACCTCAAACCATGGCTATCCTTTGTTTTTCTTTAACCTGAACACAAAACTTCATTACTGTTCTGATTTCTAAGTATACTCGCAAAGCTTTGCCCATATTTGAAAGATTTAAACCTAGCCTTCTTTTTCCTCATGTCAAAACGGTATGCTTCTATACCTATTACCTACAATACCGTATTTTAAAGATTTTAATCCCTGTAAAGTCATTCAGAGCTTTGGCAATTGGGCATTATGGACAGAATGAACACGCATGTAGCAAAAGATGCATGCTATTTGTAAAGCTCCAGGTGGGATTCTCCCCTGCACCTCCCAAAGCTATTTATTTTATATTGTATTTTTGTATTTTAATCTAATGTTTGTATTTTTAATTTAATGATTATAATTATTTTAATTAATTGTTGTAAGCCGCCCCGAGGCTTCGGCGAATGGGGCGGCATAAAAATATTTTAATAATAAATAAATAAAGCTGCTTATGCATTCCATACACGCATCGCACACGCACACACCCCAAGCCATGCTAGCTGGGACTGAAAGACTGTGGTAAAGCGGTCAGAGAACAGGACTGGGAGGCTGAAGACCATGGCTCTAGTCCCCACGGGGCCATGAAGCTCACCAGGTGACTTGGGACTGAAGGGTCAGCCTACTCTCAGCCTCACCTTGCTTGTGAGGCTGAGAGTGGTTGCGTGAATGGAGAGAGAAAGGACAAAGAGAAAAATTGCCAATCGCAAGAACAGCATAAACTCTGCAGAACAAAGAGATGCCCTCCCTCCTACACCCAGCTTGGGGAAGGCGACATGCATGCACACCCTTGACAGCCTGCAGAGACCCCACCCTCCCTTTCCGCCTCCTCCTGGCCGGGGTTGATGGGAACAAATGCAGCAGGTAGCGCCAGATCCCGGCCTCCACCGAGAGCGATCCTGAGCCCGGCCGAGCTCGCAGGGGTGTTGGCAGGGTAGGCGCAAGAGGGGAGGGGAGGGCGCACGCACCGCTTTCTCGAGGTGCCCGCGGGCCTGCTCGCCGTTGCGCGTGTGGTGGTAGAGGACGGAGCCGAGCTGCAGGTGGGTGCGCGCCTCGACGCGCGCCGGGGGCTTCCGCGGCAGCACGGCCTGCAGGCAGTGCACGCAGAGCCGCACCTTGGGCGGGCTGGACGTGCGGAAGTGCTCGGCCAAGCCCAGCAGCGCCACATACCACGACTCCGACGCGCCCGGCGACGCCCCCGCGGCCGCGCCGCCGCCCCCGCCCCCGCCGCCGGCCCCGGAGGACGACGACGAGGACGAGGAGCCCGCGGAGCCGCCGCCCCCGGCGCCCCCGGGGGTCGCCTCGGCCGCGCCGGAGCCCCCCGCCTGCTGCGCCACTCCCGAGCTCCCGCCCGCCGGCTGCGGCGCCGGGGGCTGCGGGGCCGCCGCCGAGGCCGATGAGGGGGCGGCCGAGGACGACGAAGCCGCCGCGGCCGAGGAGGCGGCGGCCAGGGAAGCCGTGGGCGCCGTCGTGGAGGAGGGCGCGGCCGCCGCCGCCGTCACCGTCGCGCCTCCCGAAGCCCCGACGGCCGCCATCTTAGATTTTTTTTTTCTTCGAACGAAAAAAAAGGGCTGGGAGACGGCACCGCGCACGCGCGGCAGGCGCGCGGCCTCCCGGGAAAGCGAGTCCGGCACGGAAACGAGCCTTAAATGGACTCCCGAACAAGGCACACCTCTTCAGGAAAGCGAACTCTGGAAAGGAAAATGAAAAAGAAGAAGAAATTGAGCGGAAATAACACAGCGCGCGCCGAGCACAAAAGCGCCTGCTAAAGAGGAACTGGGTTGCGCATGCGCAAACAGCGCGGGGCTTCACGGGAAACGGAGTCCTCCGCGGGGAGCTTCAGCGAGGAGACGGAGCGCTAAGACAAAGAATTTCAGCCCTGGTTAGGCAGTGAGCCAAGATGGAAAACGAGAAGCGCTCCTCTCGCGAGATTTAACCCCTTCTTTCCCGGTAGCGGCTTGTTTGTTTTTAATTAAGGTGTGTCAACCCTTGAAAGGGTTCTGAAAGTTAATGATTTTTAAACATCAGCTACTTACATTTATAAAAAGCATTTATACAAAGAACGAGCAGCAAATTCTCGTTTCGCATTTTTAAAAGATTTTCCTTTTAGAGTAATGTTATGAAGTCATTCTACAGTTACATTTAAAAATACACATTGCATTACTGTGTAACTGCATGTTGTTCGTTGCAAAGTTGTGCCCGACCCATCGTGACCCCACAGACAACATTCCTCCAGGCCCTCCTGTCCTCCACCATCCCCCGCAGTCCACCTAAGCTCAAGCACTGCATCAGTGACCCCATCCAGCCACCTCCTCCTCCGCCGTCCCCTTCTTCTTTTGCCATCTATTGTTCCCAGCATTAGGCTCTTCTCCAGGGAGTCCGTCCTTCTCATCAGGTGGCCAAAGTATTTGAGCTTCATCTTCAGGATGTGCCCGTCTAAAGAGCAGTCAGGGTTGATCGCCTTGCTGTCCAAGGGACTCGCAGGAGTCTCCTCCAGCACCACAATCCAAAGGCCTCAATCCTTTGGCGCTCAGCCTTCCTTATGGTCCAGCTTTCACAGCCATACATTGCAGCTGGGAAAACCATCGCCTTGACTATACGCACTTTTGTCGGCAGGGTGACTTCTCTGCTTTTTAATATGCTGTCTGGATTTGCCATAGCGTTTCTGCCCAGGAGCAAGCGTCTTTTAATTTCTTGGCTGCAGTCCCCGTCTGCGTTCACCTCCACTAGCTTTGGTGTTGCTCAGACTTCCTAAGGGCCATTTGACTTCACATTCCAGGATGTCTGGGTTGAGGTCAGTGACCACCCCATCGTGGTTCTCAGGGACGTTATGCTCTTTCTTTCATACCTCTTCTGTGTAATCTTGCCACCTCTTCTTAATCGCTTCTGCCTCTGTTAGATCCCTGCCATTTTGGTTCTTTATCATGCCCATCTTTGCATGAAATATTCCCTTCATATCTCCAGTTTTCTTGAAGAGATCTCTGGTCCTCTCTTTTCTATTTTTTTTTCTATTTCTTTGCACTGCTCATTTAAGAAGGCATTTTTATCTCTTCTAGTTATTCTCTGGAATTCTGCATTCAATTGGGTGTATCTTTCCTTTTCTCCCTTGCCTTTCACTTCCCTTCTTTCCTCAGCTATTTGTAAAGCTTCCTCTGACAGCCATTTTGCTTTCTTGCATTGCTTTTTCTTTGGAATGGTTTTAGTTGCTGCCTCTTGAACAATGTTGCGAACTGTCCATAGTTCTTCAGGCACCCTGTCTATCAGATCTAATTCCTTAAATCTATTTATCGCCTCTACTGTGTATTCATCAGGGATATGATTTAGGTCATACCTGAGTGGCCTAGTGCTTTTCCCTACTTTCTTCAATTTAAGCCTAAATTTTGCAACAAGAAGCTCATGATCTGAGCCACAGTCAGCTCCTGGCCTAGTTTTCACTGACTGTATAGAGCTTCTCCATCTTTGGCTGCAGAGCACATAGTCAATCTGATTTCTGTGCTGACCGTCTGGTGATGTCCATGTGTAGAGTCATCTCCTGGGTTGTTGGAAAAGGGTGTTTGCTATGACCATCGTATTCCCTTGACAAAATTCTCCCAGCCTGTGCCCTGCTTCATTTTGTACTCCAAGGCCAAACTTGCCTGTTTTTCCAGTTATCTTTTGGCTTCCTACTTTAGCATTCCAATCCCCCATGATGATAAGGATGTCATTTTCTGGTGTTATTTCTAGAAGGTGTTGTAGGCCTTCAACTTCAGCCTCTTCAGCACCAGTGGCTGGGGCACAGACTTGGGACTGCTGTGATGTTGAATGTTTTGCCTTGGATTCGAACTGAGATCATTCTGTCATTTTGGAGATTGTATCCCAGTACGACTTTTCCTACTCTTTTATTGACTATGAAGGCTACTCCATTTCCTCTGAGGGATTCTTGCCTGTAGCAGTATACCTGATGGTCACCTGAATTAAATTCACCCATTCCTGTCCATTTTAGTTCGCTGATTCCCAAGATGTCGATGTTAAGTCTTGTCATCTCCTGTTTGACCGTGTTCAGCTTGCCTTGATTCATGGATCTTACATTCCAGGTTCCCGTGGAGTATAGATCTTTCCAGCATCGGACTCTCCTTTCACCAGCAGACAAATCCAGAGCTGAGTGTCCTTTCAGCTTTGAGCCAGTCACTTCACTCTTCCTGGCGCTACTAGTACTAGCCCTCTGCTCTTCCCCAGAGGCACATTGGACACATTCCCACCTGAGGGGCTCATCTTCCTGCGTCATATCTTTTTGCCTTTAGGTACTGTCCGTGGGGTTTTCATGGCAAGGGTCCTGGAGTGGGTTGCCATTTCCTTCTCCAGTGCATATGCTTCTAAAAGTATAACTGCATATGCTACATAGTTTTGGTTATTTTACTCACAAACCAAGTGTACTCGGAAAAATGTTGCCATCCCACCTCACTGCCTTGTGATAAACACGTCAAAAGATGCCTCGCGTCTGGTGGTGAAGACCAGATGACCCCCTCCATTAGCGGGTGACTGTCAAAGTGTAACCTCTGTGTTTTATAGACCTCCGTAACCCAGTAAGTTCACCCATTTAACCTTTTTGCTTACTTAACTTGGCCAGCCTGTTCAAGGTAACTTTAGTTTAGAAGGCCTGTCAAAGGCATCTAATGAGTGTGGAATGTAACTTTTCTTTATGGTGCTGTGACCTGTATCCAATCACCTTCCTATCCATATCAAGGTATCCAGTCACCTTCCTGAGTACAGTATTCACTCCCCTGTTGTGTATTCTATGTAACCCTAATGAAATTAGCACTGGGGGTTCCTGCCTTGGGCACCCATGGATCCATGCATTCAATTCTAAATAAACCTAATTGCCCTGGCAAGAAACTGACTATTTGAGCCTTAATTGGGATCAGTGTGACAGCTTTCTGGTGGAGAAGGCGGGGAGAAGGAACAGGGAATCTTTCTTTTGATCCCGGTGCCTCAGCCAGACAGGCAAATGGACGGGGAGATGCTGCGTCTCTGCATAAGCAACGGTGAAACAGGCCCCCTTTGATCCTCTCTGCCGGCTCACGCTCTTTTTCGGGATAAGGAACTTTGAGCATCCTGGCAAGATACTGGCTGTGAAAGGAGGCCTTCAGCTCCTGCAGGACAACGGTTTCTGGTAAGCAATTGCCCCTGGAGAACAACTCTGTCGATGGGAGACTCCAGGAATGTGAGTATCTGGTCTGCTGGGTCTGGTCTGGCCCGGTGTGAGTGACTGTCTGCGGTATGCTCTTCATTTATTCCCTGGGGGCTTCCAGGGTCCCCCTCAAGTAATTCTCACACTACCACACCGATCCTCGGGAAAGTCCCGAAGGGTTGAAAGCAAGGGCGTGGGATTGGACTGAGAAACCAGCCTCGCAGCAACTGTTGTACTGTGTGGACGAAGTGTGATTGGAGGCCAGGGGAGAGGAACTGGTTCTGATCTGTTCTGTATTATCTCATCCAGTACTCGGCGACGGCCGACGAATCGGATGGGTGGCTTAAGCTCTAAGTGGGCACTTGCTGCCAATGGAGACTTAACACCATTTGCAGTATGTTTTGAAATACTGGGATTTGCTAGGGAAAGGAATGAGTAAGAGATTTTTGACCTGGCTCTGCACATTTGAATGGCCTCAGTACAGAGATCAAGGTATCAATCCATGGCCATGTACCAGTTCATTTGACTGCATCCTCATCCAAAATTGGCGCACCTGGATGATTGATGTTGGCAAACTTTCTGAGGCAAATTATGTGGAGGTGTTTTGCTTTTCCACTTCTATATATCCACATTCCATTCCATGTGGACTAAAGGATTGTAACTTTGACAGCAAAGCAGACCAAATCAGTGTGGCATAGTGGTTAAGAGCACGGGACTGGGACTCAGAGGATCCGGGTTCTAGTCCCCGCTTGGCCGTGGAGCCAACTGGGTGCCTCTCAGCCCAACCTACCTCACAGGGTTGTTGTTGTGGGGATAAGATGGAGGAGGAGAGAAGATGTAAGCTGCCTTGAGCCCTTTGTAGAAAAAAGGCAGGATATAAATCGCAATATAAAAATAAATAAACCACAGAGCGGGGACACACTGAAACAGGGTCCCTTCTGCTCTCAGAAATAACACCCTCACAAGAGCTTCCCCCATCACACTCTGTTGGACTTGGCCAAAATAAAGGAAATGTCTGGAGGTTTCTTCAGGCAGCCTCAACAGCTTACTTGAGCTCGTTTTGCAGACCGCTCAAACCTTCATAGGAGGAAGTCAAAGTCATGGCTGAGATGGTCTTTGCAGAAATAAAATTAAACTCCATCTTGGATAAGGCACGGGGTGAAGTCTTTCTAGCATATAGGAATGCAAACAATCACATTCTGCCGCAGGAAGAGAGAGAAAGCCTCTGGTTAGAGTCCGGCAAGCTGCCCTTCCCTGCCTGACAGCCAGTGACTCCCAGGTAGAATTTAACTTATGGGAAGAGGCTAGATCGAACAAAGCGGAAGGGGACTCCTTGGATGGAGGGAGGTTTTGAAGATTCTTGTTGGTAAAGCGAAGTCTGGC